TTAATCTGTAGTAAGTCAGACATTTTCTTTAGAAAAAATAATTAAATATAAGCTATTTTTTTAAAGCTTGTAAATTGAGTTTTTATTTTTCTTCGAATTATTTTATTCAATCTCTTTGCAAATTATAAAATAAACTTGGCTATGACATTATTTAAGAAATATAAATTTAATTGTCAAATTTATTTTTAAATAAATAACAATTAATTGATAGTTTGAATTAATTTTAGTAATTTTTTTTAGTTAAATTTTATTTTTTGTATTTCTTCACTAACTCATTTTTTGCACTACAAGTAAAAATATATGGCATTTAAAATTTGAAACCAAAATCTTCATATTTAAATCGATCTTTTTATTTATAATTAAAAGTAGAATGTTTATATTATGCTCTAAATTCATAATTTTGAAATATGATCTCGAATTTTGTATTTAATTAAAATTATATGATATAAGAGAGAAGCAATATCAAGGAGAGAATAAGAAAAAAAAAGTTAAGTATTTAAGATTCTGCAAGAAATACTGGAATTTAAGAGATAGTATTTACATTTTTTATGTGATACTCCTATGGAACTGCTTCATTGATTAATTATAGTTTCATATGTTTTGCTAATTTATCCTTGTAAATTAATATATTTTATTATATATCATAATCCCAGATATGTATGTATGACAAATTATATTCATAAAATTTAAATTTTATAACTTAAATTAAAATAGAAAGCAAATAGCTAGCTATAATTTATTTAAAAAATAAATGATTTATACATTATAGATATTATATAATTAGAGGGTCAGATATTATTTTGAACATTCAATTTTTGGATAATTTATTTAGTATAAATGAAATAACTAGAATGAATTTATTTATTAAAATTGTAAAAAGTTGCTTTATCATTGATTCATTAATAATAAATATATTCTACTTTTATTTAACTAATTTTAAATTATGAAACAGTCTTTAAATTATATATTATGAATGTATTTAAGTAATAGATAAATTAAATGTTCTATTCTAATGTTTTAAACAACTAGACAAATTTTAATACTTCTTACATTTTATTATTAAATATATTATTCGCTTTTAAATAATAATATTATAGAGGCCATTAATATTAGAAGCATTGTTAATTTTTTAAAAGATTCATTTTAATTTATAATAAAATAGTTTCTTTAGAAAAAATATGTAAATACAAGCTATTTTTTTCAAAGCTTGTAGCTTGCATATTTACTCTACTTTCAATTATATTATTTGATCTCTTTGTAAATTATATAATGTGGCTATGATATTGTTTGTTTTGAGATAAGTAAATTTTTTAATTTACATCAAATATTTAAAATAATGACACTGTTTGAACCTTTATTTAGATTATTTTAAAGCTTTCCACTTGAATTTTTATTTTACTTTCAATTGTTTTAACAAATATAAAATGTGGGTGGCTATTACATTATTTTGAGATAAGATAAATTTAAGATATTAATTCTAATTTTAGATAAAAAGTTATTAGCTCAAATAATTTTTGTTATTTTTTTGTATTTATTTTATTAAACATGAATATTATTTATGCCTAAAATCTTCTGAAAAAAAATTATTTTAGTAGTTTTCAGGCCAAATATAATAAAAAATTTTACTTCATTAATGATTTGAAAAATGTTTTATTTTTTTACTCTCTCATTTTTATTTAAATAAATTCTTATAAAATATGGTTAAAAAAAAGCCTACAATATATTACTTTTAATTACACATTTTTTAAATTTAACATAAGAAAGATAAAGATTTCATTAGTTTAATACTATGTTGAGAAAAATATCTATTTTATTTGCGTTTAACACATAAATTATAAAAAGTGGCTATAACATTATTTTGAGATAAGATATATTCAAGATATTAATTCTAATTTTCGATAAAAAAACCATTAAATTGAATAATTTTTGTTATTTTTTTGGTTTTATTTTATATTTATTCATAAATATTTTAACATAAAATCTTCTGAAAAAAATAATTTTTAAAATTTTCAGGTCAAATTAAATAATAAATTTTATTTCATTGATTTGAAAAATGTTTAATTTTGCTCTCATATTTTTTTTAAATAAATTCTTATAAAATATGATAAAAAAAACTTACAATCTATTTCTTTTAATTATATATATCTATGTTATTTGCGTTTAGCTCATAATTATTTACAGTTATATATATTGAAATATTAAAATAATATATTATACATATATACATAATCTTTTAGAGCTTCTATTTACTTACTTAAATTATCATTCATTCATCATTAAAAAAAAATATTATTTAATTTTAAACAAAATAAAATAAAAATGAATTATTTAAATAGTAAAAAAGAAAAACTCAAATAATTATTCGAAAATAAACCAGATAAGGTTGAGATAGCTTATGATAATTAGCTTAATGAATAAGAACTATCTTTTTTAAACCATCTTTTTGAAGAAAAAGACCTTAAAGAAAATTATGATTGGTAAAATATAAACAGAATTTTACACCAAGTGCTTACTAAATTAAGTGATATAAAATTGTATTTCAGTAAAGATGATAATTAGAGGGAAAAAGCTTATTCAGAAAACAAGTAATACATATTATAACCATCTGAAAGCTTTGGGGGAAATTAAGATCCTTCTAATATTTTAAAAAACTACTGTCCATCAAATATCAACTTTAAACCTTTACAGTATCAAATACATCCAAATCCGAATGAAATGAAACCATCTGTAATAGGAAGGTCTTTAACCAAAACTTAACTGCAAACTATTTAGTAAATCGGTACATTTACTACGTAAATCATTTTATTTTAAATAGATATTTCAATTTATTTTAATTTATCATAGAATAACTGAAGGAGGCTAAATAAAAACTTGGCAAATTTCAGAAAAATTTTTTATGTCAAGCCAATCTATCTTGAAGTTAATCAATAAAATTGGACAACCTAATTTTAGTGAAATGTATCTCAAAATAATTTTTAATGTATTTAAATTAAAAAAAATTATAAAATTATAGATACTGCAATTCATTTACAAGGAAGAGAATTATAAATTAAACTTTTGAGGATTCTAAATTCAATAAGAAATACTGGAATTTTAGAGATGGTATTTAAACTTTGTTTTTTGATACGCCTCGGGAATTACTTAATTGTTTAATTGGAGTTCCTATGTTTTGGTATTATTACTAAGGTTTAGATTACTATATCTAAAAAATTTGGGATCAAGAAAACTTTACAAAATAATACTCAAACCTTGCTTTTAATTCAAAATTTTAAAAGATTGTTTAAGAATTCAACATGGAAAAAGCTATGGCTGAGCAAGTAAAATAGCTGTAATTGAGCTAAGAATCGTATAGATATCTTTAAAACTTGAAAATACACTTACTTGTTAGGTGTATGATGTAGTTTTTTAATTAACAGAGTCTCATGCAAGTCTCAAACGAAATCGAGCCGTTTAAAGATGAATTTCTGTCTAATTTGATCATAAATTATTTTAAAAAGGAAATTTTAAAGTAAGAAGATAGGATAGAAAAAGTAAAAGTATTGATGGTTGAATGCTAATCAGTGCTAAGATACTACTAATTAAGGACTTATGAAAAATAAATCAACAATTTAAATTATTAAATCTCTAGTTTGAGCTAGGAAGCACTATTTAAATTGTCTAAAAAAATCAACTATGATAAATATGATAATTACTTTTACAAAATTAAAGATCTATGGAAAGAATTTTAATCATTTGAGTGTTTCACATGTTTTGAATACTAGATTAAAATTGTATGGATATTTATTTTTAGCACCAAGGATTGTGATAGAACTACTGTTCATACTCTTTTCAATTTGGTTAAATAAAAAATTAAAATTAATATGAAAAAGTTAGAAGACTAAGCTGACGAAGATCACAACAATAATGACAATGAAGATGGTATTTTTGGAGGTTGCTGTTTTAGATGCTCTTGTGGGTCATATTTTTATAACTATTTTTGTCTCTATTTCTTAATTGGAATAATCTTGATTAATATTGTATGTAGGATAATTGGAGTTTTCTATCTCTTTGTGTAAGTAGCTAAGTTAGCATTACTTTACGTATTAGCTTTATTTATTATTTTGCTACAATACTCATATTCTGTGATTATTTATAACAAATATGTGAATCCTGAAAACCTAAATTATTCTTGCTATTTTCCAATTTTGTAAATATTAGTTGTTAACCCTATTTTAGGAGTCCTTAAAATATTCTACTCTTTATTTTAGTTGATAGTTTATTTTTTCAAGTATTTATCAATAAAGCTTAGAATACTCCCAATTTATTTAAAAAATTGCATTAATTTCATGATAATTAGATTACTAGGCTAAATCCCTGATAGAGATTCTAGTTATTGCTACTTAATTTCGAAAAATGAAGAGGATAAAGATTTATTTGGTTAAGAAGATCTAAAGCTAAAACAGAACAAGGAATCATAAGACAATTGTTTAAATGAAAAGGTTGCCTTAAAATATTTTAACATAGAATAAATACTATTTTATATTGATCAAAAAATAAATAACTCTTACTATAAAAATTTGGAGAAAAAATTACTTCGTTAATATAATTCAAATTTAGAACAATACAAATAGATTTTGTAAATAAATTTATAATAATTACCATTTCCTAAAACAGATATTTAAGAAACACTCAATTCTAATATGTAATCTTTTAAATAAACTATTTCTTAAACCTTAGAAAGATCTTACCTAACATAATGTAAAATACAATATTAATAAGGCTGGAAGATTTACTATGAAAAAGGATACTTATAGTAAGTTTATTAGCAAATATAAGATCACTTTTTGTTATTATAAGATTAATCCCCTGAAAAATTCTCACATTTATGGTAAGAACTCTTAGTTTAAAAAGGAAATTATTATATGCTAGCTGAGCGTTTCCTGAAGGAAATGTTTAATTAGTATTTAAAAGAAGAAAAATAGTTTGATTAAAATCTATTTGATATATTCACAAAAAGCAGAAACTTCAATTTTAACAATCCAAATTTATTATCTGAGATTAATACTCATTTAAATATTTGCTTCTTATAAGAAGCTAGGCTTTTTGAAAAAATAGATCTTAGCTTTAAGAATTAAATACAATAACATTTTATATAAAATCTCAAAATTTAAAATAGTGTATATTGAAATCTATCTTATAATTTTCTAAATATTTATATATGTTGTATTTAAAAAAATGATTTGTTTATTTTATAAATAGTGAACTCTAATAATTTTTTGATTAAATTTCAGAGAATATATGAATCATCTAAAAAAATTATTCTATATTTTATTGATGAATTTAAGTCAATATATTTCAACTTTTTAATGTAAAAAATAAATATTTGAGAATTCAGTTTAGCGATTGAAATTAATATTAAAAATTAATAATTACAAACTTTTACTCTAGGTATGGAAAAATAAGTTGTCCTTTTAGAAAGATTATTGAGAGTGAGGTTAATGAAATTTTTCGCCTTTATTATGTTATAGAGGAGACCTTATTTCATAAGATGACAGCAAAGTGAAAACTAGTATGTGTATGAATCAATCAATCCGAGAAAAACTAAAAAATATATCCGCTAAATCATATATTTTTTTTTAAAATAATGAATAAGAAATAACTAGAAATAACAAATACTTTGAATATAATAAATGATATATTAATATCAAGCGAAATAAAATAAATTAACCCCAAACCTCCTAAAAATAACTTTAATTAGCAATTTTGTAATAAGTAACAGAAATGAGGGAAGGAAGTTATTTATATCAGCCTCTGTTTAAAATGCAAAAATTTTTAGTAAATTTATTCAATATTAATAAAAATTCTTAAGAAATTCGTAATATCAAGTTTGAATATTCTAAAGTAATTTAAATATGAAAAAATATTTTATTAACGATTTGATAATATTGCTGTTAATAAATAATAAGTTAAAATTATAAATTACAAAAAATATATTTATTTTATTTGTTTATTTTCAGTTGCTAAATAAGTCATACAACGTTTGAGTAGGAGAAAATTCCATAAAATCTTTTATATTTTTTTAAAAAGCTAGAATCATTAACAAGTAAATATTACAGTTATATTTCTTATTTTTGTAGGCAAAAGGTTAGCCAAATGGATGATTTATTGTCCTAAGATTAGCAATTTATTGTATTTCCTATTCATCAAATTAATAATTTTGAACCCATGATTAGTAATTTTCATATATTAGAAATTAAGACTCTACTAAATATTATTTAATTGTACGTTTTGAAATAAATCCCAGTGCTTGTATTATGTTTTTTTATTTATTGTTTATCATTAAATCAATATTTTTTAAATGATTACTAGCATATGCTAAATTTTTTAAAGTTCTTAACTATTCTTGCTCATTTTCTTAAGCATTAACATTTTCTGCGCAAAATATCTTAAAGTTAATTTGAAATACATTTAACTATTTAATATCTTACTCTAGTAGCTAATTCAGCTTTTACAAGCTTGTTTAAATGTATACTTCATTTATTTCGTGCTTAATTTATTTCCCTTAGAAATAATTATTTTCTATTACTCTAAGTATAAAGTAGACTGTAAATAACTTAGAAGAAATAGAGTCGAATTTAAAATAAAGGTTTAAAATGAAAAGGTGCAATGCTATTCTTAAATAAGAGAAAAAATTTGCAATTAAGTCTAGCTCTTTGCTATATGAAGCTTGCATTATAATCAGTAGCATAAATATATTTGGTAAGTTTTAATGTTCAATATAGCCAGAGAAGTATTTGACCATTATTTCTATGATTAGAAGGTCACATAATGTCATAATCATTTCTTTCACTACAATCTTTTTATACAGCTAAGGATTGGAATACTCTAATTTTTCCTTCTATGCCAGAACATACTTAAATCTTATCAAAATACTATTTAAATAGATAAGTATTAACTTCTACTACATCTCAAATTTTGTAAGAAAGTATAATAAAATAAAATCTTAATTATTATGACATTTTTAAATCTGAATGAAATAATAGTGTAAGCCATTGAATAAGGGTTTAATACTTAAGATTAAAAAATGAATCTAGCCAATGAGAACTAATAAAATTAAAAGCTATAACCAACGAGAGCTCTCTTCCATTAAAATTTAAATGGTAATTATTAAGTAGTTTGCTTAGAGTAAACAAAATATTGTAAAAAAAGTTAATTTATGAATGATATTCATAACTTTTTATTAAATTTCAAAGATTCAAATTTAAAATAAAATCTAATTGATTATTTTACTAAATTAAATATTATGTGATATTTTCAACAAGCAAAGTATTTAATTTTTTGATTTATTAATTTATTGTCCACAGACTTATATTTTTCTATTCTTTTTTTAATCCTTCTTCTAAAAAAATATATTATTTTAATAAATATTCTAAAAAAAATATTAAAATATTATTCAAGCAAAGATATATTAAAATTATTTAAGCAAAAATAAATAAATGAAAAAATATTCTAACAAATAAATTCTAATATTTATTAGAACTCCATTAATATGCCTTTCTTGAAGTATTCTACTCTTTTAGTCTTGCGAATTTAAATATCATATCAGAAAATCTTAAATGATAGAATATAAATAAAGATAAATTAAATTCTGCAATTTGAATTAAAAGTATGGCTCAAAGTTTGTATTTATTTTGCTTTCGATATATAAACTAAGTTAATCAATTTCTAAATTCTTAAATATTAATATGAAAAAATTAATGTAAAATATATATTTTAAATAAGCCAAATGCAATTTAATATTATTTAAATAAATAATTTTATAATAGAATTTAATTAATAATACTCATAATTTTAATTTATATCAATCTTTCTTTATGATTTTTTTATTAAATTTTTAATTATACAATCATATTTTTATTTAGATTTTATAGATAACTATGGGATTACAAAATAATATTTTATAGTAGATATATGCATGTAAAAGTAGAAAGAATATCAAGTGAAATAAATAATAAATTAATTCCAAATCTCCTAAAAACGACTTTAATTGATTGGCTACTCACTCTGTTGTTAGTAACAGAAATAAATGACGGGAAATTATAACAACTCTTTAAAATGCAAAATTTTAAAATAAATTTATTCAATAATCATAAAAATTCTTAAGAAATTCGAAATACCAAGTTTGAATATTCTAAAGTAATTTATTAAAATTAAAAAATATTTTATTTAGGATTTAAATATTTACAATTAGAGTTAAATTATAAATTACAAAAATATATTTATTTATTTGTTTTCAGTAGCTAAATAAGTCATACAAGGTTTAAGTAGGAGAAAAATCCATATAATCTTTTATGTTTTTTTAAAAAGCTAGAATCATTAACAAATAAATATTAAAGTTATATTTTTTATTTTTGTACACAAATGGTTAGCTAAATGGATGGTTTATATTCCTAAGATTAGCAATTTATTATATTTCTTATTCATCAAATTAATAATTATGAACCCACGATTAATAGTTTTCTTAAAGAAGAAATTAAGATTCTACTAAATATTATTTAATTGTAAGCTTTGAAATAAATCCTATTGCTATTATTATGTCTTTTTCTCTATCGTTGATTATTAAATCAATCTTTTTTAAATGATTTTTAGCATATGCTAAATTTTTTAAAGTTCTTAATTATTCTTACTAGTTTTCTTAAAGATTAACATTTTCATTACAAAATATCTTAAATATAACTTAAAATGCATTTAGCTATTGAGAATCTTACTCCAGTAGCTAATTCAGCTTTTGCAAGCATGTTTAAATGTTTATTTCATTTATTTAGTATTTAATTTATTTTCCTTAGAAATAATTGTTTCCTACTACTCTAAGTATAAAGTAGGCTGTAAATAACTTAGAAGAAATTGAATCAAATTCAAAATAAAGGTTTAAAAAAAATAGATGGAGTGCTATTCTTAAATAAGAGGCAAAAGTTCCAATTAAGTCTAGTTCTTTGCTAAATGAAGCTTGTGTTATAATCATAAGTATAAATATATTAGGTAAATTTTAATGTTCAATATAGCCAGAGAAATATTTGACCATTATTTCTATGATGAGAAGGTCACATAATGTCATAATTATCTCTTTCACTTCAATCTTTTTAAATAGCTAAGGATTGGAATACTCTAATTTTTCCTACCATGCAAGAACCTACTTAAATCTTATCAAAATGCAATTTAAATAGATCAGTATTAACTTCTACTACATTTAAAATTTTGAAAGAAAGTATATCAAAATAAAATCTTAATTATTATGACATTTTTAAATCCGAATGAAATATTAGGGATAGCCATTGAATAAGGGTTTAAAATTTTCGTTTAAAGATAAAATCTAGCTATAGAGGGTGAACAAAATTAAAAGCTACAACCAGCGAGAACTCTCTTCCATCAAAATTTAAATGGTAATAATGAAGTAGATTACTTAGAGGCAACAAAATATTGCAAAAAAAGACAATTTATTAATGCTTATCATAACTTTTTAATAATTTTCAAAGCTTCAAATTCAAAATATTTAATTAATTAATTAATTATTTTTCTGAGTCAAATATTTATTATGTTATATTTTTTCTATTCCTACTTTAATTCTTCTACTAAAAAAGTAAATAATTTAATATAATATATTTAATAATAAAATATTAGAATATTTAACAGGTTAATATTTAAGTTTTAAATTATTTGACAAGAATAAAAAAATAAATGAAAAAATATTCTTATTAATAAATAAATTATAATATTCTAAAATTCATATCAAAAAACTTATCTGATAAAATATAAATAAAGTAAGCTAAATTAAATTTAGCTAATTTGAAATAAAAAAATAATAAGCTTGGCTCAAATTTATTTGTTTTTTGTTTTCTATTTATAAATTAAGTTAATTTCTCAATTCTTAAATATTAAAATGAATATAAAATATATATTTTAAATAAATTGGAATTAATTTTAATTTGTAGTAGGAAGTGTTGCTGAGCTATACTGCTATTTTTATGTGCTCATAATTATCTATATATTTATTATTTATTTTAGTAATATTAATTTAAATTATCTCTAAAAAGCATAAGAAAAGCCTGTCTAAGAATACAAAAAATAAATAAAAGTATTTAAATATAATTAAATTGTTTAATGTTGTTTTCTAATGATAGTAAATAAATTTTATACTTACTTTTTATAGTTTATCTTTACATATAAATTTGGTTTGTTTTATTGATTAATATTTAAGTTAATTTTATTAGATTTTGCCTATTCAAGAATTAAAAAGGACTGATATAAATTCTTACTCATCATTAAAATTCTCTTCATTTCTCAATTAAATAATTTTAGAAATAAATTTATTTTCTTCATTAAATGATTCATATTCTATTAAAGAAGAGCTATTATCAAAGGTATTAGTTTTTTATAATGAAAATTCTTTTAAGTGATAAACAATAGGCTTTTAATATTTAATAATTTCTTATTAAGTCATAAATTTACTATTTAAAAAAAAACAGTCGTTTTCTTGGTTTTTAGAAAATAGCAAAATAACTTTTTTATTCTGATGTTTTAACATTCTTTATATTTCTTCATTTTCATTTTTATTTTGATTGAATTTTAGAGATACTTAATCACTTATTTTCAAATAATAAATAGAATTTAAAGATGAAAATAATGCCTCCTACCAATATAGTTATTTTTTTGTTTCGACTTCGATTATTGTTTTATAAATTTCCTTAAATGAGTTTATTATTAAATTTAAGTGCTGCATATTTTTGATAATGGTAAAAGGCATGAATGTATGTATTTCTGTATCAAAAATTAGTATCTAAATTCTATCATGGCCTTAAAAGAAATTAGATTTTTAAAGGCTTTAAAGGCATAATTCAACACAGTAGAGTATTATTTATAATAATCCAACTAAAGCAAAATAATTAAATCGATTGGAGGATTTGAACTGCTTAAAAACTATTCTTTATCTTCATTTACCAGATTTTTGAGCTGAGTATTATTAGTATAATCAATAAGTTGGCTTAAGTGATAAATTGCTTTTTTTCTTAAACAAGGACTGTAGAAACTACCTTCTTCTATACTTTAAGTAAATAAATAAATTGCTTCTAAGTGTTTGTTTTTATTTTATTGAATCAATGCTTACAAAAAAATGTGTCTACTTTTCTGGATTTGAATTATTTATTTATTTAAACATGGATTTAAATTTTACATTACAGTTTGCCTCTGGTTTTTCTTTCCATAAAATTAGGCTTATATTGACTCATCCATGATGTTATCTTTAACTTATGAATTACCTAATAGCATCTTCTCTTTATAAATGAGTTTTTAAACTTAAAAATTATTAGTCTATCCTAAAAATATAAATATCTCAATTATTTCCTAGTATAGAAATATTTTGAAAATATCTGAAAAGCTAGATTCATTATTTTCCATAAATCTCAAAATGATCTAAAAGATTTCTAAAGATTAGTTTAATTCTTTATTTACTTGTTAAATAATTTCATTTAAATTTATAGGCTATTTTATATGATTGTTATTAATTTAGTTGTTTAATAATTAGTTTTTTCCAAAAATTTTTTAGTTTTAATCATTATAATAAAATTATAGAGCTTATTGCTTAATGCAATGTGCTTATGAAAATATTCTTTTTACTAAAAGCAAAATTGGTTTTTCATCACTATTTTAAGATTTATTTAAGATTTTATAGCCCATTAGGCTGTAATAATCAACTCCTAATGAGTCTAAGCTAAGCTAAATAGATGATTCGAAATATTCTTATGAAATACTATAATTTTAGTTTAGAAGAGATACAAGACCTAAGTTGTAATAACATCTGCCCAGTCCTATTTAATTTTATAGTTGCTAAAATGTAGACTTAGCCATACTAAAATGAAAGAGAGAGTTAGTGTAATCTTCAGAGTTATATTTTTGAGCATCTATTGAGTAGTTTATGAGTCTTTCAAGATCTTAAAAAACTTATTTAATAATTTTCATTTCTAAGAATAAAGGTTTTAGACCTTTCAGAATTTAATTTTTATCTTCCTATTTATTTTTAATAAGTTTGTCATTTAACAAAGATTTAGTGCTCTTTTCAGTAATTGTTTTAAATGTACTTGTATTTGATTAAAAGTTAGTTTTATTTCCTGGGATATTTTACTCTAAAATAGACTAATTTCCTATTATTTATGATTACTAGACACATTCATTTATTTTTTAAGAGATCATAGGAATCTAAGATGGTGATTAAGTGTTATTGTTATTATTTAAGCTTAAAAATTCAGATACTTCTTTAAAATCTTATTTAATTTTTTAATGATTAACCTAGTATTTTTATTGATTATATGTTGATTATTATTTACTTTATTAATTTGATATTGTCAAATTTTAAGATTAAAAAATCGAACTATCTTGTAATTAATGCTATTTTTAGATTTAATTATTATTTTTATTTATTTTATTAGAATTTTACCAAAACTTTTAAAATAAATTTAACTTTTAAGCAGATTTAAAAGATAAACTAGGTCTGTTTTTAATTTATTTAAACTTCTTTTATATTTTTTATTAAATTTATATTTCAATTTTGTTTTGATTTCCACTTGTCTGATATGTTAATTATTCCAAGTAACTCTTCTCTAAAAATATTATAAGCATTTCAATAGGATTTTAAATTTAAAACACCAAAAAAAAACCATAATTACTAATAAATATTAGTATTATTATACTAAGTAAAGCAAATCCAATTAACAAATAAGCCTTAATAATATTTGTATTTAATATGTTAAACAATTTCAGTTAATCACTATTATCAGTTATTACTCTTGCCAACAATAAGATTGCATAAGAGTATGGTTTTTAAGTATTAATCCCTTTAAGCTTGCTCTAAATAGGAAATACAATACTCATCCTTAATTAAAAATAAAATAAATTAATTCAATAAAAAATGCTAGGGTTTTTTATTAAAAAAAATAAATTATAAATGAATAAATAGGGTATTAACAGGCAATAATTAAATTTAAATAATTTTACTATTTTTATCCAAATCTTTCCCAGCTTGAGTAAAGTTAATCCAAATTTGTTTAGCTATCAATCTAATAATTTCCAGTTTTAATGAATTATATGGTTTAGTTTAATTTGCTCATAAATTATTATTTTTATGATAAGCAAATATCCATCTCTTCATTAGAATTATTGCAAAATTAATTAATATTTAAAAATTCTACGTCTGCCCATGTTGTTGTTTAATAATAAATAAGCAACGGATGATAAAAAACCTAAATTAGTTAATAATTTATGAATTTGAAATTATATATTCAATTAATATCTATCTAAAAAAACAATTACTGTTGCATCGAATTCATGAAATAATACTGTATAAGAATTTTCACTTAAATAAGAGTTAAATATGTTTACTATATTTTGCATTTTAAAAATGATAGCACCTACAGAATAAAACTAATAATCTTTTAAAATTTAGGTAGAAATACTCATTTATAATGCTCCTGTTAATGCGTCATTATAAGGCTAATAGATAAACATACCTATTTTGTGAATATGTTGATAATATAAATTTATTAACTTAATTTTTTTATTTTTAATACAAGAAAAACTGTTAAACTAAGCACCCTAATAAAATAACTGAGCGCTCATTAAAAATGAGCAAAAATCATCACAAATTAATTTAATTTTTTTATAATAAAATCCATATATAAATTTGGCATTTAATATATTTTGGGTATTATTTTTGGTCTCTTATTAAGTTAGGTGTACATACAGTTTAGATAATTTTGAATATACTTTTTTTTAAATAAAAATATAATTTTACCTTCATTTTATTTAGCATATTAATACCAAAATCTACATCTTGGATCATATGGTTCTATATATTATGTTCCTTCACAAGTATAGTAGGTAGATTATGTATAATTGTACAATCTTTTCATTAAATAAAAATAATTCTAAATCAAACTATTTCATTTTTATTTATGTGATTTTACACGGAAGGATTGACTGTATATGTTGCAGTTGTATCTGCATCATGAATACTATTTATTTAAATTATTCCGCTTTATTATGCTGCTAAAAAAGCTGCTCTACCATAAAAAGATAAGTCTTAGTTCTAATACAAATTTATTAAAAAAGTTAAAATTTTAAAAAGTTTTGCTTATTTAAAATAATTTTTGAATACCATTTTGATGAAATATTGTTATTCAGGTGGAAGAAGATCGTATTTGAATATCGATCTCACAAAATAAAGCTGTGTATAGAAAATACTTCTATTAATCTAATCATATACATTTTGTGGACATTAGTTTAGCATGTACTCTCTATATGAGCATAATAGGTATGTTGTTTGATGGTTATCTATTTTAGATGTTTTAGATTAAAAAAATCTTAAATTTAAATTTAAATTTTACATAACATTTAACCAGACTAGTAGTTATTTAACATATTTTTGATCACAACCATGTGAAGTTCCAGCTTTTATTAGTAAAAGTAGGTTCAAAAATTCAATCATACAAATTATGAATAAAAATAATTTAAGAATAAAAAATACTTAGTTAAAGCTATACTCTAACAGGATTTACTATGAATATATAGAATTGTATAGTACTTGCTTTTATGTTTACTCAACCCAATTAGCACTATCAAATTACCTATTTTTATTGTATTAATAATTATTAGATTTAATATTCATTAATAGATGATAATTATGAAAGCTAGCTCTAAAAATTAATATAAATTTTAGTTTTATTATGTTTTTACCATTGATTTAGGGCTTACCATAAGAGCTAATAAAATATGCTCAATACAACCCCAACTCCTAAAATAATAGGTAGAGATACTGTTAAAATTAACCTGAAAATTAAATACTTCATTGCTGTAAATTAGCAATGTTTATTTGTTTTTACTTCTACTTTTATGATTTTACAATTTACTGAAAGAATAGTTTAAATAATTAGGATAGTAAAAGAAATTTATTTAATTTATATATTTAATTTATTAATTTTTGGCAGTAAAATTTATCACTGCTTGATGACTTTAAAATGAATAGAGTAAAAGAAAATAATATTTTAATATTAACACAAAATAAATTAATGATGAAGGTAATTAAATAATTTAATACAGAATTGCTTAAAATTTTGTATGCTTTCGTCTGATTAAATTTTAAATAAAAAATAAATTTTTTAAAATTTAATTAAATAACTAATTGCTAAAGTAAAACTAATTTGTTAATTTTATTGTGATTACTAAAAATAAATAAATAATTTTTTTTGAAATTAATTTACTAATTAAAAGAATCCTTTTTTAGATTATTTTTTTTTAAATTTTTAATTTTAATATTATTTCTTTTTTTTATTTTATCTTTAAAAGAATAAATTAATTAAAGTTAAATAATTATGTATTTTCTACTAATTCATAAAAATGAAAAAATTTACAATTATTTTAAAACCAAAATTAATTAATGATTAAAATGAATTTAATCTATAAAATTCTTTCTTTTCTTTAAAAAAAAACTGCTCAAAAGTTATAAAGAATAGATAAAAATTCTTATCCTTCATTTAGATGATCTTCTTTCCTCAACTGTATTAATTTACTAACTATTTAATTCTCATTTTCCAAAGGCTCATATGAAATGAAAGGAGAGTTAAATTCTTTTTTATTATTTTAGCTTGTCGATTCCTTCAAGTGATAAACTATTGGTTTTTAATTATTTATTATTTTTTAAAAGTTATTTAATCTCTAACTTAACTTAGCATGATCATTTTCTTAGTTATTAGATAAAAGTAAAATTACTTTTTTAATTTCATTTGTTAAAAATTTCTGGTTACTCCTTTCATTAATATTGTTTTAAATTACTTTTGAGTCAAAATATTATTATTTCAAAGATACTAAATGATCAAGTCGTCTGAAATCATTTATAAATTATAATGATTAAAATAGGGCTTCTTACCAACTAAGCTAGGTCTTCATTTTATCATTAATGATTGTTCTTTCAATATCTTTTAAAGAGTCTATAATGACATTCCAATCCTAGCTGCATTAGATCACCGTATATGATATAAAAATGTCAATTTCCGAATGATAAATTAGGATCTAAATCCTATCTTATTCTTCAAATAAGTTGGTTTTTTAAATATTTTAAAGAATGCTTTCAATTGTATAGTTCTCTTTGCAGTAATCCAATTAAGCAACAATAGTTAAATCTATTGGTGTTTTTTTGTTGTAAAAGAACTATTTTTGAGTTTCAAATACCAAACTTTTGAAAGGTATATCATTAATTGCTTATTTCATGTGAATTATGAGCTTTTTTCTTAATTAAGGACTGTAATGACTACCTTCCTCTATGCTTTAAGTAAATAACTCAAATGCTTCAATATTATTATTTTTACTTTATTCAATTAGCCCTAACAAAAATAGCTATCTACTTTTTTGGATTTCAAGAATTTATTTATAAGTATTTACAGAAGAAATATAGCTTGGTTCGCTCATTATATTATCTTAATATTTTTAATTATTCATTATTTGATTTACTTTTTCAATTAACTTGTAAAAAATTTTATTATTATTTTATCTTAAAAATATGAATATCTCTATAATTTCTTAGTACAAATGTATTTTGCAGATATCTGAAAAACTCAATTAATTGTTTTCAACAAATTTCAAGACAATTTTAAATGTGTTTAAAGATTAATTTAATAATTAAAGGGTTTCATTAGAGCTGCTTCTTTACTATATTCTTTATATGTCATGATTATGTTTAAAAAAATTTCTATTAAGCAAACTAGATGACTCATTAGTTTCATTTTAATCAAGGTAGTAAAATGATAAAGCTTACTATTTCAAACAATATGCTTTTGAAAATATTTTCTTTGTCAATATTTAAAGTTAATTTTCATAATTATTTTAAGATTTATTGAATATTTTATAGTTTTCAATACCTTGGTAATCGATCCCTATAGTCTCCAAGCTGAGCTCAATAGCAGATTCGAAATATTCTTATGCTAAATAGTAATTTTTGTTTAGAAGAGATGCAAGACCTAAATTATAATAACATCTCCATAATCCAATTTAGTTTTTTAATTGCTAAAATGTAGACTTTGCCTTACTAAAATGAAAAAGAGATTTTGTAAAATCCTCTGAATTATAGTTTTAAGCATCTATCGAATAGTTGATAAGATTTTCAAGGTCTTGAAAAGTTTATTTAATAATTTTCATTTCCAAAAATAAAGGCTTTAGCCCTTTCAGAATTTGATTTTTATTATCTTGTTTTAATTTAATAAACTCATCACTTTGGAAAGAAGTAGTGCTTTCTTCTGTTGTTAATTTAGCTGTACTGGTAATAATTTGTAAATTTTCTTTATTGAGATGATTTTATCCAAAGGAAATAGACTAAACTTATTTTAATTACTTTTATTAAATATTGAGATATGTTATATCAAAACTTATAGGAATTTTTGGGGACTATGAATAATTTTTAGTGAATTGAATATCAGATTTCAAGGTATCATCACATTTATCTAATTCTTTTAATTATTAAAATGAGAATTCTTTCGTTTGAAAATTAAAAGACTGTTAATTTTAAAGTAGCAAAGATGAATTATCCTACTTGTAAAATTAGTTTTAAATCTAATTCTTATTTTTACTAGTTGATATTAAAATATTATTATTGTTCGATAAGAGCATTTAATTTGAAGTTTTTTTGTTATTATTTTTTTAAAATATGCTATTCTTTTTATTTTGATAGATTTTCTTTTATTTGTTTTATTCTTAATTTGGTTCAGTTATATTTATTTTACCAAAATTTTGATACGTTAATTATTCTTAATAGCTTTTCTTTAAAAATAAAATTAGGAGCTTGATAGGCTTTTAAATTTAATAAACCAAAAAAACACCATAATTAATTAAAAATACAAGTATGATTATACTCAGAATAACAAAACCTACTATTAAATAAAATCTAAAAAGTTGTATATCTAAAAGATTAAACAATTTCAATTAATCAGTCTGATCTGTTATAACTTTAGCAATCAATAAAATTGCAAATGAGTATGGCTTTTAATTATTATATCCTTTAAGCTTGCTTTTTATCGGAAAAACGACACTTATTCTATTAAAAAAATAATTTAATATATAAAAAAATAATTTTAGTATGCTATTTTTAATTTAAAAATTTTAAAATAAATTAGAAAGGTAGGTTTTATTAAAAAATAATCTATTAATAAAACTCATAATAGTGAGTTGCCTAGATATTAGAGTTAAATTAATTCAAATATATTTTATTTAAGGATTTTATCATATTTTACAATAATTTCAAAATCCTAAAGCATATTTTTCTGAATTTTAAGAAGAAGATAAAATATTTTTTAAATTTAATCTTTGTAGTTTTTTTAGATTGAATTAACTACTAATTTATTTTTTTTGCAATAAAACTTTTTTCACATTAATTTTTGTAAAGACTAAGGCA